GCGCGCCGGGTGCAGCAGGAGCAGACGCAGCTCAGCCTGGTGCTGGTGTCGTGGCTGCTGCTCGGCACTCTGCTCGCGCCGTTGCTCGTCTACGTGCTGCTACACGTCCGCGCGCGGCCCTGGGCGCGTGCGCAGCCTTTCGTCATCTGGTGAGTGTACTGTAGCTGTCGGCTGTCGCCGAAGCAGCGCCACAGTGGGATATCTCGCTTGATGGTGACGCGAGACCTTCCGCCCCTGTCTTCAGGCTCGGCGTGGACCCGGACGAGGACGCTGGCCCCAGTGAGCTCGGCCCGGCGCGGTACTTCCTGAGCAGGTCGGGGGTGACTCCGGTCGCGGGGCCCACGGCCACACCTCCCGCCCGGCTCGGCCAGAGGGTGTCCGCCCCCATGCCGCAGCTCCCTGCCGGCCGAGGCCTCCTCGCCGACCTTCGCCTGGACGGCGCGGACGCCGTCGTGGAGGGTGGCAAGTCGCCGTGCGCCGGCTGGAGGCCGCGGCCCTGGAACACGGGCAAGCAGGGGCCCCGAGCGCGGGAGGAGCTTCGCGGTGGCGGCAGGGAGGATCCGAGGAGGGACTCGAGGGGCGGCCTGGGCTGGCGGGCGTGCCGCTCCATCTGACGAGAAACGACGGAACACTCTTTCTCTCTCGTTCTCTTTCGCAAAGATATAAAAAAAGTAAAATCTCTAATTTTTCTAAAGATGTACACCTTTTTTTTTATATACTTACATCCACCAAAGGACGAAATATCCCCGGCCTTGAGCCGACTGGTGCTGGTGCTCGGGCCCTAATTACAGCGACACGCCCGGACACTTCTGCGCGCGGGGAGGCCGGCGGGGGGTGGGGAGGGGGTCAGCAAACGTCAGGGATTTCTTTAATTCGCTTTGTTACTACTCGATAACTTTCCCCCCGGTGCACGGACCGGAAGAGCTGCTCCGAGTCGGGGAAGCGGGTCAAAGCGAGGCAGATTTCCGAGGCCTTTTCCTTTTGTTTTTGTTCTTCTCCTCCCCATTGCCCTTCCTTGTTATCAGCGTCTCATACGACCTGCTGCTTCTCCTCACCGTGACATGTCTACACGCAGCAACAGGAAGCTGCTCAGGATGGAAAGTAGCGCGACGCGGCGTCGATACAAAAGGAAAAAAACTAGACCCGTTAAGACCCAATTACTCAGCACTCGCGAGGAAATCTGCAACGCGGCAGTCAAAGTTCGGTACATCATTAGTCGTAATTGCCGAAAAAAAATTCCTGCCGAATTGCCAATTGCCGTCACTTTCTCGTCAACGTGATGGGACCACTCCGTAATGCCTGATCCTGCCAGCCCACCCCCTCCCAACCCGCTCTCCAGGGGGACCGTTTTGAATGCAGCAGAATGTCCCGGGAGCGGCCGAGCGGCCCCCTCCCCCGGCTCCACCGTGCTCGCCCGGCCCCGCCAAAGGCCCGTTCTAATCTATCAACTGACTCCCGCTGTTCGCCTCAAAGTGAAGCCGCCGCCGTGTCTTCGGCGAGCGCACGGCCCCCAGGGGAGGTGGTGGAAAAGGGGGGGGGGGCTTTGGAGTTTATGGCATGTTTGGTCCAACGCTGGCTGACGCTGGCTGACGCTGGCCAGGGTAGCTACTACTACTGGCGAGCAGCCGAGCCCAATCATTGCTTCGGGCCGCCCCGTGCTGCCGCCGCCGCCGCCGCTGCCGCACAGTTTGGCCGGCGGCTCCCTCGCCCGACTGAGCAAGGGGTGCCAGCCCGCGGCCCAGCGCCCGCGAGCCTGGCGGAGCCCGAGACCGGCACAGACACAGCAATCCGACTGCTGATTCCAGTAGCAGTGTGGTCACAGTCACTCCCCCCCCCCC